ACACACACACAAAGAAACACACACGCAGACACACACACAGACACACCCACACAGACACACACCCACAGAGAGACACACAGACACAGACGCACACACAGAGACACACGCAGACACACACACAGAGAAACACACACACACAGACACACACACAGGCACACACACAGATGCACACGCAGACACACACAGAGACACACAAACACAGATGCACACAGACACACAGAGACGCGCACACACACAGGCACACACAAACACAGATGTACACACAGACACACAGAGACACATAGACACAGACACACACACACATAGAGACACACACAGAGACACAGGTACACACACACAGAGACACAGACACAGAGACCCACATAGAGAGAGAGAGACACAGAGACACAGACACACACACATAGACACAGATGCACACACAGACACAGACCCACACACAGACACACACCTACACAGAGACACACACACACAGAGACACACACACCTATAGACACAGACACACAAACACAGAGACACACACCCACACAGACATACATACACAGAGACACAGACACACACACACAGAGAAACACACATACCCCCACACACAGAGACACACACATACCACCACACTGACACACACATACACACACACCCCCACAGAAACACACACACGGAGACACACACATAGACACACATACAGAGAGACATACACACAGAGACACACACACGCGCACTGCTCTTGGAAATAGCCATGGTGAAAAGATTTTTTCCCTTCTTTCTTGTGCCAAGGATAGGAGATGTGACAAGAGTCTTCCCTACACTAGGGAAGCTCCTACACAGTCCTCTTCTTTACCAAGTTCAGGGCTGAAAACTGCCTCTCACTTGACTATGGCCAATTCACTTGTCCAGCCAAGTGCCCAGTGCTGCTGCTATGACACTGCACTCCAGGCAGGAGGGAGATGCTGGGTTCTCACTCTCAGGCATGGCAAGTATGTGAGAGCGTCCAGGAGGCCATAAGGAAGGTAGCTGAGCAGTCTGCAGTTCTGCCCCCCTCAGCAAGAGAGCTACCTCTGGACAAGTGGGCCCGGAAGGACACCCACAGGGGGCTGAAGAAATGAGAAAAGGGTCAAGCAGTGGCCGCTCTCCCATGCCATGGGGAGGCCCGTAAGCCTCCACAGGGGATCACCAGTGACCGCTCAGGAGAGCCAGCAGCAGAATGCCCACTGCCAGGGCACGTGGGATGTCTTCAAGCAGAATCTGCTTCCCCATCCCACAATTCTACCCTCCAGAGCCCAAACTGAGGAGAAAGAAAGAAGGATTTTAAATCAGATGAAAACAAAATTTTAAAATAGTATCTTTCTTTTCTTTTCTTTTTTTTTTTTTTTTTTTTTT